TGTGTAACGAGGTTATGGATAGTTGTGTCTGTTTCTTTCTTGTTTTTCCATTTTGTTAGGCTTTGCATCTCTCTCTTCCAGCCATTCTTTAGAGTTTGGGAGTGATTTTGTGAATTGATTTTTTGATCGAAAGTGGGGTCCACAGAGAAGAAGTGAAATATGACGTCTGAAATAGTGAAATAACGATCAAAAAATCAATTTTTTGGGTGAAAAAATTGGGCCCAAACAGCCCTTAATATGTTCTCTATTTTTTGGGGAAGAATTGAAACTTTTATTTTATTTTTTTGTTTGGTTTATACATTACATTATGTGCACGTGTTATAACTACATTATATGCGTGCTCTAGACCAGCACAACACGCTGCATAGCACCCACCCTTGTATTATGTTACTGGGCTTTTGACAGGTCCTGTGACCCTTCATAAATATTTTATTTATTTATTTATTTATTTTAAGTAGGAAGGGGAATTTTTTTTTTTTTTCTTTTTAACTATAACTTTCTCATCAATATCCTATTTGATGATCATTATTGAGGGAAAAAAATGATATTTTGAATAATAACTTTATGGAAATTGCGTGATTAAGAAGTAGAATTTTTTTTTGAATTTATATGCAGAATATTTTATTACATGAATGTATGCTTGAAAATGATTACGAAAATCGAAGCATTCTGTTTTAAAGGGAAATAAACAAGGCTAAGTTTACAACTTCTTTTCAGCTACATAATTTTAAGGTTGGAAAAAGAGTAACAAAAGTGAGGAGTGAATAAACCATTGCATTTCAACACCTCGTATAATAAGAATCATCACATGTCCTTTAAAGAGGAGGAACAATATCATATAAAAGAGTTGCACTTGGAAACAATTTTGAATCATTGAATTAAAAAAAATATATATATATATACACACACACACACACACACACACATTCGTGCATAACGACGCATGTTTAAAAACTACAAGGTTTTTTCATCCCTATGACAACTACTTTGAAACTTGTCAATTTATATTTAAGTGTAAAAGCTGAAAAATGTAGTTCGAAGAAGTTTCTACAATTGCTAAATAAAATATACTTAACGCCTCTTTTATTGTTGAAATTCATATGCTTAGTATTTTGTTCGTACATTGATTATAAGTGTTTCAATCTCTGATACCTAAATAGTTTACAATTTACCAAGGTGTTCAAGGAAAAAAATGGAACTTGTTTGGCTAAAGTATAGTAATTTTGTTTATAAGTAACTTCTCTTAATTTACTTTTAAGTAGCACTTAATCTCATTCTTTACTATGACCCTTTATTAATGTGCGTTCATAAGCAAAACTGATCAGATTCTGCTACATTGTCCCAGGGGTATTCCCCGTGGGGTTTTTGACCGTAGATAGAAAGATCCCTTCTCCAAGTAGCACTTTCAAGCTCCTTACTAGAATAGGCAAACACGTTTACACCTGGTGGGAGTAATGATAATATTTCCATTCATGACCGAGAAACTTCAAAAGAACGAAATTCTCAGGCTCCTCACTGTACAAGCCATAGCCATTCATGACCTTGGCTACAACCCTCTCAATTCAGGGGTCGATCCAGTGAATACCGATGGCTGTCATCAGGTATCAGCCGCGAAGCCTACCAAAGAAGCTGATAAATTAGCTGAATTGTTCCCATATGGAATTGTTATGTTCAACTATAATGGCTGGCTTGTTCAGTAAGGTGCACAGTGCACCGTACATTATTGACAGTATTCTAGAAGAAAAATAAACTAAAATATAGACTCCATTCAGGAGCAATTTTGAGAATTGATTTTATGACTGTTTGGAGAAAAGTGGGGACCACTTGTGAGAGAAAAAATCGAACTTAACGGCTTGAATACTAAAATAACAATGGGGGTAAAAATTACTCACAAACACTCCCATAGTTTATTATATTGTCTAATCCAATCAAATACTACGTAGTAAGCATGTACTAACAGTTTATAGGCATGTCTCTTCAAAGCTATTAAAAAACTGAGTCATCAATATTAATCAACCCATACAGCAAAGTATAACGTATCCCGAAGCAAAATACAATTACCACTATCCATACTGCAAGATTTCCCTGCAGAATGAGAAACTAGAAAGATGAATATACATTTGATCTATGACAAGAAAATTGATTTTACCGTTAACTAGTTATCAAAATTGGGTATGTTCAATGCGAAAAGTTACCATTCTCAAACAACTCCATTCACTTATCGAGATTTGTGCATGAAGCACACGGCCAATTCCTGGGATGCAGAATTACATGGAATAAGGTCTTAAGAATCAGTTCACCGCTTCATCCTAGCACCTGCTTCTGTGTCAAATTACTTGTAGTACAATATCGAATCAGACTGCATAGAGAACAAGAGGGAACAAGAGGGAGAAAGAGAAGAGTCGTGAGATTCAATGGTCAGTATAATAAAAACCCGTACACGTATTTCTACTTGAAATCTCAAGTGAACAAGGAAAACTACTAAACTAACAGAATAGGAAATTAATTAGTTTAAACTAGTAACTATGGGTTTTCATTCTTTTGACTTAAACTCATGTCTAGTTTATGGCAGTCTTTCTTAGAATATCCATAACGATCTCCATCAAAAACCCTCAAAATGAAAGTGAGAGAGAGAGATAAATGACATTACACAGAAGTTAGGAAATAGGTAAGCTGAAATATATCCAGTAGTAGTTAAATACAACATATCTGGAGTTCCTTGACCTAACATTTTCTTCACCACATCCATTTGTGGCACTAAAAGTTGCAGCTGAAAAAATATCAGTGACTTAGAATAAACAAAAACATATATATCTATAAAATGGCAATTCAGCTGGACTCAGATTGATTAATAGCAGAAGATGCAGCAGCCATGCGTTGGGCATTTTGTTAACAGTTTCTCAACATAGAGACACTTGGCTAGTAGCACCGATCCTTGTGTGTCGATTCATCAGGCCTTAATGACAAAAAAGACATTATTTCCAGCCATCGCAGTAACACAGAAATATGAAGGATAAAATTATGTGTTGTAACAAAAACTCTAAATGTAGTAAAGCCATCAAAGGAAACCATATTTCTCCGGTATTTGACTTGTGAATTTTAGATTGAAGTAATAACCATTAGGGAAAATGATATTCAAATAAGAGAGGCCATGAAACACTAAAGTGAGAATCAAATCATTCATACATTAGTCAAGTCTTTAATTTGTACAAGGATGATTGTTATATCATCTGTCCGATTTTCATGCTCTAACCATAGTTTATATGATTCTGCAGCAATGGTAGAACACGCATCCCTTGGATCAGCATATTTGGTAACCTGCAAAGATAGATGCAAACTAATGTCAGGTGTAATCGGAAAAAGAGATTACAGCACTGCTGCCTATACTTGGAAGCATCAATTATAATGCGGTAAGCATACGAGTACAAGAGAGTAGTCATATGAGCATTGATGAAAACATGAAAAACGAAATCCCAAATTACATTTTCACTAGATATGCTAATTGATTAAGCTCCATGCTATCTTTATCAATCAACTCAAAAAAAAAAAAATAATAATAATAATAATAATAATAATAATAACATACAGGATTTGAAAAAGGAATATAGAGTTTGTGATTCAGTCCGTCCATTTGCATCAGAATAGAATTTTATTACATCGAATAGAAATTGAAATGCTATTATACACTTTATTCCCAATTTCATGGCCTTTAAATTTTACAATGCAATTCTAATTCCCAAAAAAAAAAAAAAAAAAAAAAAAAAAAGGCACTCCAACCCTCCGGCAAACTAAGATCAAAATAATAAAAACACCTTAGCCATGCATCTGGGTGGGTACTGAGGAGTGATTGTTAGCAATGCCTACCTGGACGTTTATATGAATAACTCAAAATGGTATTAGAGACAAGGATCTAACACATCTACAAGAATTACCATTGAATTTTGATATATCAAAATCAACCAGCATTTTCATGTTCACGGGAAATTATAGTTTTCTCAATCATCGGAAATTTACTCGAGTCCATTTGCCAGCATGTTCAATGAAATATTTTGCAAGCTCCCTAAGTTAAAGAAGAATCGAGTATTACTACAGAACCTCCAAAGTTGGGCAAAATTTTTTCTCATAATTGTTGGTATGTTTTACATTTATGGAGTTTGATATTTGACTACCGTCGAACTTCTCAAATCCATATCTATAACATTTAAGTGTCACATGAGTTGATCATTTTTTAGACAACAATGCCCTCACTAATATTTGATAATTCTTGATTTGCCCCTCAATTAATAATTATCATTAATGAACCCTTAATTAAATACTTGCGCTTGTGCACATGTGTGTGTGTGTGTGTGTGTGTGTATTATTCATATACATGCATTCTCCCATACGCGTATTTAAGTAATAATATATATGTCACCATTATACTGTTCACATTTCACTACCCATCCAACTTCAAACCTATTCAGGTTCACAAAGCCCCCAGTGCACATCTCCAAGTGGTAAAAGGGGAGGGTGGAGAAATCCAGCTTTACTTGAGGCTGCCGCGTCAAGGGTTCGAATACTGAAATATGGATTTGGCTCTTGGGTACGTACACGTGTACAGGCAGCCTTCCACCCTGTACCTTTGAAGGCATAACCTGCGATTTACCTCCCTCACGATGCTCCAGGGCAGGGGCGGTGAGAGACCCTTAAGGTTGGGGTTCAACCTTTATTCAGGTTCCACAAAATTATGCCGCAAGCCTCTCTCCACCATATTATTACATTTGTATCCCAATATATTTAGCATATAAATTTTTAACACAAACAAAAAAATATACATTTTAAGGCCATTTGTCAGTGAGGAGAAGGAAGTCTACATCGAATAATCAAGAGCTTTATCACCCACATTGCACTTTTATATATTTTTTATGCAATTAACCTTTTTCGTGTGTTTTTTATTTTATCCAAAACAATAATAGACTACATGATTAAAGATACACTTGTAAAAATTAAAAACAGCATGCAATTCACATTTGACTGTGTCTAGTTTTTCATATGCATGCACATCAGTTAAAGAAAAATTAACCCTAGCAGCAGCCAAACAAAAGCAGCTTATTTGTGAGTAAACTTCCAAAACGTTAACGATGAAGGTGTAAATGAAAATTAGCAATGATTGAAATAATTCTGACAGCATTAGATGTATAATGTACCATGTCCACTACAGTTTGGCTGGGTAGGAAATCAAACACCCCATCACTCGCAACAACAAAGAATGGATGCTTAGCTGTGAGCTGTATCATTGACACTTCCGGATCAGCAACCACACCAATCTTCTCCGCCAGTCCATCCCCAACACTCCGGGTAAATGCAGTTCCTGGATACATCTCATCCTGAACCCACAACCTTGGTGGATCACCGCCCGCGGTTTCCTCATCTCCCCAAGATTGTATTCCGGGATCCTTAAGCCCTTCCACTTGATCAGTACTCAGAACCCTAGCCCCACAAAGCTTCACTCTCTGGCATTCATCTGCCCTGAATGGCGTCTGGTCACAAGATAAATCTTGAGCAAGAACTTTATTCCCTTCCTTGACAGCTAACACTGCTCTGGAGTCACCAACATTTGCAACATAAAGTTCATCCCCAACCACGAGAGCTGTTATAGCCGTAGTGCCACTCATGGCATCATCAATATCACTATTGTGAAGTTCATCATTTGCTGCCAAAAATGCAGCACTATAAGCCATAACAGGATCATCTAATAACACAGCATCGTTTGATAATATATTGACAAGCCTATCCTTAACAAAATTCGAACACTCGGTTCCAAACTGTCCATGTCCATCAAATACACCGAAGAAATGAACATCAGGGTTACCCTGAATATTCGTTCTGATACAGTAACTATCTTGATTTTCCTTACCGGGGGTTTCGGGGTAATAACCACGCTGTGTAAGAACAGAATACTCTAACCTGAAATTGTGTGACGGGACATTCACGATCTCTAACAACCTGTTAGCAAGTATATGCTTATTCTGGACACCCAATTCTTCGTTATTATCACCAAATGAGGACCGTCGAAATCTGCTACAGCACTTTCCAAAAACACAACCCATTTTCGCGTGCAATTTCAAGACACGCGAGATGTTTGATACAAGTTCGGAAAGAAACCTAGGGTTAACAAGACCCATTCCTAAAATGAGATTCCATTATTGAAGAAATTGTCAAATGGATTTTCTTCGAATCAAACATTATGTTGATTTCCAATTCAATTCATCCCCTAAGGAGTGAGCCCTCGGAAGG